TGTCGTCGCTGCCGAAATAGATGAACGTTTCTTCGAAATAACCGATGGTGAAAGCATCATTGAGGCGGTGGAAGAAACGTTTAGCTGTTTCGGCGAACGCGTGATCTTCATAGAGATTTCTGTCACATAAAGTGTTACTATACGCCCACACGGCGGTACACAGTAAGAAGACCGCGTGTGGTTTGTGCGACAGTGAGTGCCCTATGACGCCTAGAGTCTCCATAATGCAATGTGTTGCTTCTGATAGTGATTGCACTTGATATTTCGTAGGAGTATGTCGGACAAACGAAATTGTAATTGTTATCGTCGTCGTCTAGCGGCCGGATACGCACGAGGTTCGTCTCCGTGCCTTCCGCTCCGTGTAGTATATAACATACAGTGTTGTAGTTGTAACCTTTGTTCCAGCTGTATACGAAATATATCAAACGGAATAGCATTCGAACGGTACGTCTCAGGTTCTCATATGTGTACGTCCAGAGACTCTCCCGCATTTCGTTCTGGGCAAAGGAATGCAATAACTCTATTTCGCGTTGCATATTTTGTTCGAAATGCGTAGCCCAATTGGAAAAACGTTTAATAAACTTGGAAAAGAAAATGGCGATATATAGAGAGAGTTGATTTAAAGGAAAGTCGGAAGGAAAATTAATTAATTAAGAAACAGCGAGGCTTAAACTGGAACACTGTACGAATAATAAGAAAGTAAACTCACTGAAGATTTTGAATCAAGTTGTGAGGCATAGGATTAGAGCGAATAAAATTTTGAACAATATCTATACAACACTATGACATTTTAAAAATATTTAAAAGACGTTAATCTTAAAAGTTTCAGATGTTTTATAAAGTTTTTTCAGATGTTTTAAAAAAGTTGTTAAAGAAATGTTCTTATAATATCTTTAAGACATCTTATTCTTGATTTAAATCATCTTAAGGAGATGCTGAAATTGATGACTAACTTGTACAATGTCGATATTGCAGAGACGATCGTCACTAATACAATCACGCTACTTCTTCGTATTTCTTGTACATACAAAACTTAAGTAAATGTACGTTGCTTCGTTTTACCATATTCAGTAGAAAACTTCTGCCTTATGTTAACCGTGCACTGTAGAAATCTTTCTCCAAATTTTTCAGATATTCTTAAACTTCTGAATTCAGATACGAAGATACAGCAATGTTCTTCAAAATTTTTCTGTTTGGAACATTTATACTTTTGGTATATATAAGCTGCGGAACTTTTAGGTCAGGCAAATATTACGTTAACAGATAGCTTGAGATTTTACGTTAAAAGTTTTTCCTTTTTATCACATATTGAGTAATACTTCTATTTTTGTACATACTTTTATTGTGTTAAAGCATTTGTAATTCTGTACAACCAATATGACGTAAACTTTGCAACAATGTCAGTATTCTGTCAGTAAAGTTTTTAGTTTAAGACATTAAATTGAAAACGCTTAAGAAGTTAGTTTAGCCTAGAAGCCTCAAAATCCTGTCTATTTTTGGGAGTTGATTACCAAAAAGTTATACACAATAGAGAAAATCTTTTTATACTAAATTATTAGTCGTTCTTTCGTGTTCAAAATGTGTATATATAGAATTGCCCGAAAAATAAAATGGCGGCGCTAAAGCACGTCGTATGGAGTCTTGCGCGTGAAGAAATAATTAAACGGTGGACACCAGAACGGATGCATAATTTCTTATAACAAAAATTTGATAAATTATTCTTAATTTGCATTAAATTTGCTAAAGAAATACATGTTTGATTTAAAAAATATTGAAAATGGTGTACATGTGTGAAGAAAAACATTCAATTTTTATCTAAAAATTCGACATAAAAGCCTGGATTGCAAGAAAAGTATGTAAGTATGTAAGTAAGCAAAAATTACATGTATTTCTTTCAGACAATTCAATTACAATAACTGTGCAAATTCACAATAACTGTGCAAAAGTTGAAAGGATTTGGATTAAAATTGTGAAAGTTCTGGAGTCCACCGATTTTGAAAACACCATTCTGAGAAAACCTCGTTTAAAGTTTCAAATAAAGTTTTCTTGTTTATAAAATGATAATTTCAAGATCTATCTTTTAGTCAGCAACATCGGAACCATACAATAAGCCTTCTGCATCTGAAGCATCCTCGGTTTGATAACAAAGCGATTTTACCAACGAAATGACTTCCTTCGCAGCGGCCGACATCCTATGTTTGGCGATGTTGACGCAGTTGCTGCCGATTGACTTTGCAGTTTGTAAAGTTGTAAGATATATATCCTATAGTCAAGTTCATGTGTATGTGTGTGTGTGTGTGTGTGACTTCCATCATTTTAAATAAACTTTTAAAGCCATGGCAAGCCATTGAAGGCTACATCGTACAAATACATCGTGCAAACGACGATGTATGTGCAAATGTTCAAGACTTTCTTGCTACTGGAACGAGATTTTAGAGCTAAAGATCACACGACGGCATTCAAACTTTCGTTACTGTTCTGTATGTAGCCACTTAAGCAACGAGTGAACAAATCATCTCTACTCAAGTCTTCGTAAACCAGTTTAATAGTATTGAATACGTCTTTTGATTTTCCAGTAGGGGAGGCCTCCCAATCGGCCCGATAGTATTGCCATCATCGGATCAGCCGGTACCCCTCCACCATGGCAAGGTGACGGACGCGGAGGAGTCACTCAGCCCCCCCCCCCCCCC